TAATTTTTAAATTTTGCCACTTCTTTCTTTTAATTGTTTTTTTTTTTTTGTTTAGTTTTTCTCCAAAAATTTAATTTTAAATTTCTGTTGAAAATAGTTTTCACAAAAGTTATCTCCAGAATGAGTGTGATACCAAACTACTATTGACACGACAACACCAAGAGCACAGTTTAATTTTTTTGTAGTTTGGTTTTGACAGATTGAGTTTCTCCACTGTTTGAATTTTCAGCTTGGTTCATGATGACACTTTCAGAAGTAGAGATTTAACACCTGGAGAGGTAGATTGATATTACACAGCAGTGGATCTGCACATCCTCACAGCAGCTGGTAGGGAAGTATCCCTAAAAGAGCAAGAGGTGCTGATAAGAAAATCTTCCCCTGCTGTTCTTAGGAGCCAGGATGACCAGGAGGATGTCTGAGTTCCAAGGTTGTAAGGCCATATGTTTGATGTGCATGTTCTCATTAACCCTTACATAGCCAGGCAATTTGCTTTGGTATTTTCGAAGCTGGGAGGAGAGCAGCATACTGATTAAATACTTGAATGTATTATCCCTTAGATTAATTGTATGCTAAAGTCCACGGAAGTAAGTTGATATTGCATAATGGTTCCCAGCTCTGTATACAAAGGAGAGCTGCTAACCTTCATTGAACAAGCAGGGCAGCTTTGTGAACCCAGCTAACAAACAAGGCTGCTTCCAATAAAAATTTCCTGTTTCCTTCCCCCTCCTGCGCCTGTTGCATGTTTTTTACAATACCACATTACGTGAGAGATTTCCTGCTGAATGCAACATGCTGCATCTTCCAGAATTCCTGTTCACACAATGAGATGTTATCTGCCACATTCCAATATGGTAGATATAAATCCAAAGTAAGGATTTGAAGACCGGATATTCTCAGGGCCAAGGATTGCTTTGCTACCACTACATCATCCATAAACCTTTGCTTCTTAATATATTTTCAAAAGCTTTCACTACAAATGAGCCTGTCCACCAAAAGCATTGTTTACATATTTAAAATTGCTCTGTGATCTAGAATTTCATTTAGTCTGGAATGAATAGCAGAACCTACTGTAGGGCATTGCAGTTTCCAGAGTCTAAAAAGAATAGCCTATTCTAAAAGGGTTTTATCAAATGTGGGGGGCTTTCAGTATGCCCAGGACTAGGATATTGATGGGTATGATTTTGGTGCTCTATCTTAATTGGGGTAGAGAAGACAAAGGGCCAAAGAAAAATTAGCACCTAATAAATAATGGGAAATAATTTACTATTCAGCAGATAAAGCAAGTAGGATTATGGAGAGGATCTTTTATTTTTTTTACAGTAGATTATGTACCATAGCTTTAATTCAATATAAACGGTAACCCCTACCCCCACCCTATATTATCATTTTGTGTCTTTTCCCTCCTTTTCTTGACTATAATAAAGCAATTTGATTGTGGGTTGACTGTAGTTCTTGTGGTAGAGGAGAATCTGATATCAACTGTTAGAAATACTCAAGTATTTTCCTGTTTGTAACAGTTGGAGAGCTTTTGTCCATTATCAACTATACTTTTGGCTGTAATCCATGAAGAAATTCTGCCTTGTAAATGTTTCTTTTTCTTTCCTGTCTCTCTATTTTTCTTATTCTTTTCATGTATGTCTGCAGACTGCCTAAATTAAATTCCTGGGTCTTTTCTATTCATTTGTTGTAACTCCTAGAGTAGGCCAGCTTTCAAAAGTGGTGCCCATGCAGCAGTCCTATGTGCTACTCATCGTGTGTTTTTTATAACCTGAGGCAGGAGTAAAAAGCAGAAGATCTGCGAATACATGTCTGTTATTGAGATATGCCTTCTTCGTTTTCTTTAGTGAAAATCATTTTGCAGATCTGGAAGCCCAAACCAAGGATTACAGGAATTGTACTACAACACTTTCTATACTGTGCAAATCCACCTCGCTAATTAGGACTAGAGCGTTTAGAAAGACTGCATTTCTGCTTTTGTAGCATTCCGTAGTCTTACGAGTTAGTTGACCTTGACCTGCCCATTATTAAATATTTTAAGTGTTAGAATTGAGAGGTCAAATGTCTGAGGGTTTTTCTTTTGCCCCAAACATGATTGTGTTGAAAATGTTAAGTGTCATCCGCATATATTGGCCAGTAATCGTATCCTAACCAAGTAGGTGGTAAAATTGTCTAGTCAATTGTGTCTAATTAAGTCTTTTTGTTCTGGCCCATCAAGAAAACTGAATGTAGTCAAGGCTGGATAAACATTGTGATTAAGCAAAATGTTGCTTGATTAAGCAAAATGTGAAAAAGTCAGTGTTCATTTCACTCAATAGAAATTTACTTTACACCATACCACAGACTTGGCTTACATCCACAGTTTTAGACATTCCTCCCAAGAAGACTTGATTTATAAAATCTGGAGGACAGATATTTGAATGTGTTACCTTCAGAAAACAATCAACTATTTTTTTTGTCTTACTGTATATTAAAAATAGAATAGAAAGCAAATACTTAATTGATTTCTAAGGTTGGTACACCCAGGCACGTTGTACAGAATGCAATGCATTCTTTTTACCATCAAGGTTGGCATCTACTAGTATTTATTTTTTCCCTTCAATGGTAGGTGGTAGAAGCTACAAAGAAACAGGAAATGCAGAGTATCAAGGTATACCCGGAATGACTTGCAATAGATCATATGATTTCTCTTCAGTTTGTTATAGACAGAAAAAATTTTTAAATAAGCCTTTAAAACATTAATTTTTTTGTTTAACTTTTTGTGGCATGTAAGCTATTCTGCCGCAGTGCATCTCCTAACTCCCTTTGGGTGTCCATGTTTTTAAATGGGCTCCTGAATTCATCAATTTGCTCATTCCACTCACTCCAGTCTAGTAAACAGGGAACATTTGCTTCTGTGAAGGACAAGGGAATGTAAGGAACAATCATATTTTTGCTGAAAAATGAGCACCGTTTTCTAGAGTAATTTTTGTATTTGTAGTTCTCGCTACACCTAATGAAAGATGTTGCAGGCAGCAGTTTGTAAATGGAACTACAGCACACTCTATTCAAATAGCTCCATTGCCAAAAGTGAAATTTAGATGCACTTTCTCAAGAGCGAATTGGCCCTTAGGCATCAGTAATATTTTAGATCTTTTGGTAGTTTAGCTCCTGGAAGTCCTATATTATTTCACTTTTTATTTCAAACGATGATTCCTTCAAATAGTGGCTGGCATTTTTGTCAAACTAGAACAATAATGAAAAACTATTTGATCTCCATTGCTATGATTTAACAGACTGATTTCTTTCTTCCTTTATCCCAGTCAAAATACCATCCTTGCATTCGGCATTGAATCTAAGAATCTCTGCTAAGGCATTTTTTCTCATTTTGTTTAAATTGGTATAATATTATTATTATTATAATACATGATTTATATAGTGCCAACAGTTTGCGCAGCACTTTACAACATGAGGGAAAACCGCACAGTTACCATACAATTCGATTACAATTTAAATCTTTATCTTAAAATGTCAACTTATTGCTTTGACATCAAAAAGCATCCAGAGTTACCCAGTGATGCCTTAAACTGGCCACACACTAGTAGATTTTTAAGAAAGTTTCTCTGAAAAATTCTCATTACATTTGATGACTCCTGCTTCTTCAAATGTTCCCTTTTTAGAATTTTATTTAATTTATTATTACAGGTACTTATATAGGGTCATAAACAAATGGTGATTTGAACCCACTATGAATGAGAAAATCTAAAAATGAAAAAAGCTAAACATTTCAAATGAAGTTCTACTAGTGTATGGCTAACTTTAGGGTTCATTTAAAATTACATTTTATACTGTGCATTGTAAAAAAAATGTATTTTTGCAAAATAGTGTAGCCTATATATTTAACAGAATCATGCACCTGTGTGTATTGTGTTTACCTGCACTATATATAGGCGTGCTTCTGTACATTTTTCTTATTTATTTTGAAATAAAAAACACATAACAATGGTTTAAAGCTGAACTATATCCATATAGCTGAGCACAGTTGAAATATATCTAAATTGTTTTTACCGTTTTAGAAGGTTCAGCTTTATTCAGCAGTTCTTATAATTCACAGATCTCAGTATAACTACAGTACAAAAGAGCGTGATTATGGAGAGCTAATGAGAACACATTTTATGTCCTTATATTGGCAGCATATAAAAAATGTTTTTATGATTACAGAAAAAAACATATTGATGATAGTTGCTCATTCTAACCATTTTTGCCTGGATGAGGCAACATATTCAAATATATGGGAATAGGCAGACACCATTTTGTTACCCACTTTTGGGGAACATTGATTGGGAAGGCTACTTAACCTTTCCTAACCTAACAAGATGACTCCAAAGGTGAAACATACATTTTATGGGGGCACTCCGCCTTCTTGGTTTTAAGTTAAAACTGCACAGATGACCACTCTTCTGTGTCTATGGGTGTTTTTTAATAATAAAAAATTTGATTGGGTGTCTTGGCCTACAATTGACTACTACAATTTTTTTTTAAGCCTTATGATGTCCTGTACAGTTCATACAAGAGCTCTGTACTCTTACTTGGGTCTTTAAAACATGTTTGTTTAAAACCTTTAATGTAAATCCTCCAGTTATTGCAAGGTTTGTCATACATTAACATTTAATTACAAGATCATACACAACATTTTATTAATGCTTGTTGACAGCTACATCCTTAAGCAAAGTCTGATTTTCATAAAGCCTTTAAGCATTTGTCGGACTGATGAAAGAACCTGAATGATATTCACTGTTAGGAGACACGTGTATAAAATGTGATTTAATTAATAAAGGAAATAGTAAAAAGTAATCTCCTATTTAAAAAGAGAAACTACTATGAATGACAATGGAGAAAGCCAAGTCCCACTTGTAGCACATTTGCATGTTAATACTGTTTCTATAGAGTAGGAGTCCTGCTAAAGAACTTGTTACTCTGCAAATCACTAACAGTGGGGTCTTTTACTTTTTGTTCTCTTACAGAAATAGAAGCAAAGGAAGCATGTGATTGGCTGCGGGCAGCAGGGTTTCCCCAATATGCACAACTTTATGAAGGTTGGTGTTGAATGACATGGACCTACTAAATGATTTTTTTTAAATAGTTTATAATTATTTCTTTTGTATTGGGTTTTATTTTTAAGTGTTAGCCTGCAATTCTGTTATAAATTATCACTAATATTAAATGTCTAAAAAACTGTTAAGATAAAAGTAACATTAAATCATATTGAAAATGCTAGGTTAGTTTTTTTTTTTTTTTTTTTTTTTTTTTTTTAGTAACTGTATAGGTGATATGATTCATAATGTTTTCAACTATAGATCTATAGGCCAAATGTGACTTATAAAATCAAAATTCACTTTAATGTTGGGTTAAAAAAACATGACATGTATGAGCACTGGCTTTAATACATAGCCAAGCCGGTGGAGAGGAAAAACACATTCCCAAAAGCTGGAGGATAGCACATGATCCTGGATCCAACTGTAGGTTGCTCCGCTCAGGAGCCTCAAGTCAGTGGGAGGAGTGTGTGGATGGGGCCACCGGGATCACTGACATGATCTGAGGAAGGGGGCAAGTCCCTGAATCCACATGTTGACTGGTTTCTCTCCTTTGGTTTGACATGGTTTGAGTGCTCTCCTAGGCTTCCAGTTTGCCCTCACCAGCCATTGTTTGGGTGGCCTTTCGTCTGGTGTATCACATCACATCTGGTTCCAGGACACATGACTTTTGGTGGACGCACCATGTCAGTGAGCCAACCACACACTCCTACTGTCCTGTGGCTCCTGGGCTGAGCAGCCTAATGTTGTATCCAGGATCATGTGTCATCCTCCAGCTCCAGGGAATATATGTTTCTCCTCTCCACTGTATTAGTGATGTGTCAATCCGGGCACTCCTACATGTTATGCTTTTTAACTCAACATTAAAGCAAATTTTGATTTTATCTGTTCCTGGGCTTGTGACTCTATTGACTTCCACAGAGTTGGGAGTGCTCCTATCTTTATAGTTGTGTGCTCATGTCTCATTGCTGGTCGGATGAGTTGTTGGAGCTGCCCATACTGTGGGTATCTACATCTCCCTTGGAACCTTATTGTGCCTGGTATTTGCATTTTTTTTCAAATGTGACTTATCCAGACTGGTATTGCGACACATAAATGCATCCTAACAACTACCTTGGGAGTCCCATTCATACCAGGTCAGTCAGGCTTTTGTGTACCACAAAAGACTTATGAAACAGGATACATGTTATTGTTACTCAAGATTGATAAGCCATAAATAGTTTGCCTCTTAAATCCTAAGACTGCCATGTATGGCTAAAACCAATTTGTGGTGAATCAGACAAAATATGAGCTGTGTGTGGCTGTGACTGTGGCACGAACTGGCTCGACAAGAGTTGGTTGAAAAATCAACTTTTGTCGAAGGAGCCTGGTGGGAAGTTGTAGGTTGCACAGTGGCTACATTAAATCAGGTACAGTTATTGATTGGCAATTTTGACAGCCATGGGTGCTGGCTGTTGGATTCTAATAGCCTGCACATGGGTGCTGGCTGTTGGATTCTAATAGCCTGCAAGGGAGATCCCTCAATCCTCGCTGTATTAGAGACATCTAAACTTGTATGGTAAACTTTAGTTAGCCTCTGAACTAGCTACAAACAAGTATGAGAGGGTCTTCAAAAAGTTTCCGCACTTTAAATAAATATATATATATATAGTTTTTGAATAACCCTCTTAATGCGGCTTCTGCAACTTTAAAATATTGTTTTTCAATAATTCTGCTCCTTCTTGTACACATGGCAAGGTTAAAGAAGAAAGCTGCTATCCTGTGTGAAATAAAAGTTTGGGTCCAGCAATTGAATTATAGCATTCAAAAAATAAATTGCTACACAATAAGCATTTCTAACACAAATAATTAGTTTGACATGAAAAGGATGCATACTTGGATCCCTGGGTTGTATAGCGCAGCCAAATACCTGTAGTCCAGGCTTCTTTTCCTCTGTTGTGTCTAGCACATGTCCTCCTCATACACAAAGGATAGTGGGACACACAGAGGTGGTCGTTTGTGTGTGTGTGTCAATGAACGTACTTGCCAGCTCTGCGGGAGAAGAAAAACTCATTTCCTACAATTATACCCAATCAAAGAAACAGGCTCTTAGTTTGATAGTTTAACTTCGTGGAAAACTGTTTGCAGTTTGGCGGAAATTAGTTTATGGAGATTCATTCTAGAATTTTTTTTTTCTTATCTATTGAGACCTTATTAAAAGTAATTTTGAGAACTGCTGAAATTCCCTAAATTGAAGGGAAGAATGGACCTTGTAAATCCTGGAAAACTTTCATGCTGGGAAGAGGTTAACAACTTCTAGTGAGCCAAAAATAACTAAGAAGGGAGATGTGCCTGCAGATGTAGGTCAGTAAAGGCCACATCCTGGACAAGGCTTTAACTGTACTGCTTTTCAGTTGGTGTTCCTTTTGTTAAAAATAACTCTCTCCCATTCTATTGTATTTTGGTGAATATCGAATGATAATAGGGTGTATTTCTATGTCAACTTGTATGAGAAAATATAATTACTTTTTATTTTGAATGGTTTGACAGTAGCAACAATTCCTTAAAAAAAAATCGTATATTACACCACACACAATCTGCAGGAAGCAGTATCATGCATTTGCAGGTCAATAGAGTGACAATGCTTCAGAAAAAAAATTCAAAGTAACAGCATGAAATAACATTTTTGGTGCTCTTTTGGTGTTCTTGAAACAGGTGCTGTTTCATGCTGTTACTTTGTATTTCCTGCATATTGAATAAACTAGAGCAGTGTACTGCAACTCCTTCATTGGACATTCAATACATTTTCCTTGAGAATGAAATCTCAATGTTTTAAATGCACCTGCATTTATTGTCAGTTATTCTTCTACAGAAGCACAACGTCTTAAAAAGGTTCTGTTACTATCACTAAAGGAGACTGCACACATACCTGTGACAGCTCTGTCCAGATGCTGGACTTTTACCTTCTTCCCCACCATGTTTTGTTTTTTTTTGTTCTTTATGACAGTCACTTTAGGTGGCCATTGATATTTGTCCTAAAAGTGTGAAAAAATGTTTTTTGCATTGCTTTTTTGTATAATCCTTAGGGTTCATGTAAAAAGGCATTGCTGAATGCGGCCTTCTGTATTTAAATACAACACCACTCAAATGTATGCATTTAAAGGCAAAATATAATAAACAGCTGCACTTGACCTGCAATGCAAATAGATCTCAACAGTGCAAAGCAGGTGTAACACAGCCTAAACCTGGCCGTAAACTGTGCAGATTTTGTCCAGTTCCTCATGAACCAGCCAAAATTCCCTACATGGGTAGTCCTGTCGCCAACCTTCCTCCTTATTTTTCCATCACAGGAGCTGTATGGAAAGTTGTTGGCTGAACAGCATTTGCATCCATTCAGATGTAGCTGCTGTTTGGGTATTGTATTCAGACAGCCATTGGAGCCAGCTGTAAGAAACCAAAAGTAGCAATGGGAATTTGTCCGTTTGTGCAGTTTTTTTCTGAGTATGGCCAGCCTTAGACTTTATCCATACTACACCATTAAAACCGATTCTGCAGACATGAGTTTGGTATGTGCTTCAAGTGCATGGCAGACACATGAAAACAAGGCTCGTCTTTGTGATCACTAATGGACCCTGTGATGTATGCCATATGACTCTTATTTAAGGTTTTATTGGCAGAGAATTATGGTTAGCAGTGTTCACTGTTGAAGCTATACCCAAGCTAACAGGCCAGCATTCCTCTTTCCTTCTAATACAGACCCTCCTTTTCTGCTGCCCCTTTCCACACTGTCCATACGAACCCATTGCTATCCATTATGCTTTTTCAGAGCTTTACAGATGCTTTAACCAGCTGTTTAAAGTTTGGATACTGCCAAGTATATCACGTAAAATTCATTCTACAGCAAAAGCTTTTTACCATCAATAAGAGGAAGTGTGAATATAGAATACCCAAACATCACATAAAAAGAAGGAAACATATGGGATGGCCAGTAAACCCGGATGGAACTAAATTACTGAAATGACTTTTACAGTTCCTTCAAAATTGTAACATTATATAAATAGAGTTGTGTATCCATATGGGAATACTTACCAAATGAGCTATCCTTTTAGAGGACTAGTCTGCTTATAACGTCATAGTGATCATGAAGCGAGAAAGCAAGTTCTAAGCATTATTTTATATTTAAGATAACTATCAGGCAAATTATTGTCTAGCCATTCACAGTTTTGCCTTTGTTTCTGGCTGCAGCAGAAAACAACAAATCCTCATTAGCTCCAATGAGCCATTTTTCTTATAAGTGACCACATACCTTCTGATCTCAGTGAATTGTGCAAGGTATATCAGCACAAGTCTGATCATTGGAGGAAAACAGGCTGAGGTCTCAGCACATGCCTAGTGTGGTCAGTTTTTAAATAGGAATGCAGAGGGACTGGCAGGCACACCAGGGATTTCACACAAAGGAAACAATACATAGGATACTTTTTCATATAAGTAGTACATGGTTCAGCAGGCACATATCTGGAATATGAAATGTTGGATTTAGGACATAACTCTAGACTTAAAAGAATTTCTACACAACCTAAACTCATATATATATATATATATATATATATATATATATATATATATACAGTTGTGTCCAAAATTATTCAACCCCCACTGAAATTGAGTGTTTTGGCCAGTTTGACATTGCTTTTGATCATTCAGTCATCTTGCTTACATTTACATTAAAGAGGCACTTGTAGGTCAGACAAATATAACATAACAGTTATAATGAAATAACCACAAATGTCTTTTCTGTGCTCACAGCATTATCAGTTTTATTCAACCCCCAAGTGACATTCAATCTTAGTACTTAGTACAGCATCCTTTTACAGTTATAACAGCTTTTAAACGTGAAGCATAGCTTGACACAAGTGTCTTGCAGCGATCTACGGGTATCTTCGCCCATTCTTCATGGGCAAAGGCCTCCAGTTCAGTCACATTCTTAGGCTTGCGCACTGCAACTGCTTTCTTTAAGTCCCACC